GTGTTTGGAAACGGAACCACACTGGACTTTGCGGGTGAGTACCACAGGTTGTCTCGTTTCATGAATGGTTAGTTCTGTTATCTCAGCATAAACTGTGTGTTTCTGATATCTGACTCTCAGCTGAGGAGGTGGACTCTCCTGTCTCGGTTCATTTCTTGAGCGGAGCTTTGACGCTGACAACCTTCCTGGCGGTTGTACTGACTATCTTAGTGTGCAAGATGAAGAAATGGACCAGCTGCCAACCCACAGGTACAATAACTAACACTGTTTCTCCCTCTTTCAACTGAACACAACTTTTCAGTGATTTTTTTTTCTGTTTCATAAGCAGAGCCAAGATTTCCAGCTCCTTCCATCGCCACCGCTGAGGTAACACACCTTGATGAACTTAAATCGAAGTTCATTATTGTTTGACTTTTATCTCAGTGTCCACATTGTGACCTGCTTGTATGTATTTTGTTGCCAGGGTAACAACCGAGACACAGACAACCTCTGCTATGCTGCTATTAGCGCTAACCCACCCAACAGATCAAGAACCGTGAAAAACAACACCGGGAATGAATGTGTTTACTCCAGTGTAAGGAAGTAGAACGAAACCTGTGTGTTATATTGTATTGTTGACTTAGATATAGACAAATATATGGAAATATAAATAAATATCTGTTTAATATTTGTAGTTTCAAGCTGCATGCATCCCTATTTTTTTTATTTTTTCTTAAACCTCATCAAGAAACTATTGGCACGTGGCTTTGAGGATCCAGCATGAACCTGCTTTTCAGTGGCTTTAAACTGTTGTATGTACATTTCATGTAATTAAAGATCAAATAAACATATTCAGAATGCTTTCAACATTTGTGTGATTGTGTGTTCAGTTGAGCTACAACTGGTGGAACAACAACTTTTATTTTTAGTCATTTGATTGTTCATGCGTCTCTGTAAATCCTTGCAGTTATATGTCAGTTGTCATTATCTATCACTAGAATGATAATCAATGACTCATTTATAGCACCTATGCTGGAAGTGTCATGGTTTGTAGGAGACAACAAGAACCTAACAACAGACTACCACAATGGTGAAGCAAGGTAATGTAGAATCAGCTCAGATTTTTCAGTGCAAGAACTTTCCGTCAGCCAGGACTGATGGACTGATGTCCTTTCAATCAGACCGGCAGATACACTTTACAAATCAGGCTGCTTCAGGACACTTGACAATATCGTCAGACTAGACTGTAACGCTCATCAGCATGTTGACATTTCGACCCATGAGTACTGAGATCGCGACCATTTTCAAACTCAGCTTTCAATTTGTTTTATGACTGTATCTTGCTAGATTGTGACGCTGCTCGGAAATCTGTCCACAGACACTGTGTTTAACAAAGGCTAAGCAGGCTTCTTGTGCAGCACTACACCACTGCCAGTGCTCCTGCAACACTTGAAAGGGTCACTAGACGTCCCCCCTTCCCGTTCTATAACGATGTCAAGCACCGTCCAAGATATGCGCCGAATCTCTTCCACTGAATCAGAATGATGGATTCAACTTGATTTACATTGTTGGGAAGGGAAAGAATTTGCAGGATGTGGCAAGTAGGGCTAGTGGGGAGGAGCGATTGTGTGACTGGATGTACACTGCAGGTGGAAATGCCATCATGCCACAGTTCAGGTTGTTTATGCTGAATTTTCTCTCTTAGATGTAGGGCTGGACCCGAACATCCACCGATGGCGGAAACAGAACTGTGACCGCTAACCTAAAGTGGCATTAGCAGCCAAATCCAAATACTGCCAGTGCCTTCCAGCCACTTCCACCCCGTCAGAGCGCGCAACCCCACAATTGTGCCAAATATTCAGATATTCGTCATAATAATAATAATTGATCAGGTTTATATAGCGCTTTTCTAGACACTCAAAGACGCTTTACACTGTCAATTATTCATTCATACACATTCATTCTGGTGGTGGTAGCTACGATTGTAGCCACAGCTGCCCTGGGGCAGACTGACAGAGGCGTGGCTGCCATTCTGCGCCTACGGCCCCTCCGACCACCACCTCAAACAATCCACTCACACGCATTCACACCAGGCAAGGTGGGTGAAGTGTCTTGCCTAAGGACACAACGACCATGAAACAGGGCAGAATCGAACTGCCGACCTTCCGATCATCGACCGACTCGCTCTGCCACCTGAGCCACAGCCGCCCCAATCATCAGTCATCATCAATTGGGTATCCAGAGCCCATACATTGCTATTCGGACCAGCCCTACTTAGATGCCCCCATACGTCACAGTAAAACGTGGAGTTGTCAGTCCCACCTTGGGGGATAAATTCACCCTGCACAAAAACATGAATGTAAAAGCAAAGGATCAGAGGGTTGGTGAATTCCTGACTTGACATGCTGTCTCCAGTCTTAAAGATTGCACGCTTTTCCACTGAAAACTGTTGTTTGGTCACTTGGATACATATCTTAATACCGATAATGATCCTCAACTTGAAGTTGGGCATTTTCCGGGTTGTTGATCAACACATCAGCTGATCATAGGTCTCTGCTCCAGCTTGATCTCCATGGTGAAACTGCAAATGAGCATCCGCCAGTGGCCACAAACACCTCCCATTTCTCACTATGTAAGACCTCATCCAAGTACTTAGAAAAACCTTTGCGGTTGTTGCCACTGCACTAGATGCCAGAACCACATATTGTGATTTTTTAAAAAAGAAAATTCCACTCAATTATTTAAAATAATGCCTAAAAAAAAGTCTGACATATGCATGATGTGTGCACATTCTCACTGCAATAACTTTTTATAAATACTAGTTTATATGTGAAAAACAATGTATGGATAGTTTTATTTTTTTATCATTTAATTTTGTTTATTTCATACACAGGAAACAAGCAGGCCTGTTGACCCCAACACGTCTTGTGATATCGCTGTCAGCGCAGTGACATTTGTGGTTTTCAGCAGGATGTAAGGCATTTGCGCTCTGACAAGAATCTTCCTTCAGCCAAAGACCACTGAAGCACCATTATTTGTATCATATCTGTAAGATTAAAGGCTTGCAAGCTAAAAAATACAAAACCAAAACAGAACTTTATGCCTGTTGGTAACATTAATGCTGACAGAACTGAGTCACTTGTCTTCTGTAGCCAGTCCGGTAGTGTTTGGTTCTGACACTACAACAGGAACATCTATATTCAGACACTACATACCCCAAGCAATCTAAAGTATTTAGTATCTGTGAAGTTGTTGTTTTTTTTTTTTTATTGTAATGTACATTCTATGTCTTTTTATATGTTCTAAAAAGTGGAATTAGTCTGCTGCCATTTTTCAGAACAACAAAAACCTTTGAGGACATGGGTGGGCCCAACCGTCATGTCTTGTAAGTAGGACATCCATCCAGTGCAGCGTCACGTCTGATCAACCAATCAAAATCACAGCCTTGTCTACAAACAGTGAAGACGACCCCTTTTTTTTTTCATTTCACACAGGAATTTCAACACGATGGCCTCTTCAGTGTTGGCTTTGTATCTCACATGTCTTCTCTTCGGGGACAACACGGGTGAGCTGCATTTTTACTACTCGAAACTTGTTGCTTTCATTTGTGACTCCTGTATGACAGAATCTTTGCTTTGTCTTCTATTTCCCTTCAGCTCAGACGACTGACCTCAAATTGCCCTCACCTGTTCGTCAAGAGGCACGTTTTGTATCGGCTAATGTCGGTGGCAAGGTGAAATTAGAATGTTTCTATACAGGTGACGTCGCCACAAGGCTTTACTGGTATAAACAGTCTCTGGGACAGAAACCGAAGCTCATCTCGAATTTCTACATGTATAAAACACACACAACCTTTCATGGTGAATTCAAGGGCAACCCCCGCTTTGCTCTGGATTCCGACAGCACTAAAAATCACTTAACAATCGTAGATTTGCGCGAGTCAGACTCGGGGACTTACTTCTGCATAACTTCTCATTTATACATGATAAACTTTTCGGAGAGCATCACTGTTAATGTGAAGGGTTCAGGCGTGGACATTCAGGCTTCAGTGCAGCAGTCGCCATCTGAGACCATCCAGCCTGGAGACTCTGTGACTCTGAACTGTACGGTACATACTGGGACTTGTGATGGAGAACACAGCGTTTACTGGTTCAGAACTGAAGAAGATTCCCAACCAGGACTCATTTACACCGACGGAGGCAAGAATGATCAGTGTGAGAGAAAACCCAACACACAAACACGCACCTGTGTCCACAACCTGCCGATGAAGAACCTGTCTCATGCTGGAACCTACTACTGTGCTGTTGCCTCCTGTGGACACATCGTGTTTGGAAACGGGACCAAGCTGAGCGATGAGGGTGAGTAACATTAG